GACAGGTCACCATACAAACCAGATCAAAATATACGTCTGCACACGGCTCTCCCTCTCATTCCGACAACCCTGCTGAAAATCATGTCTTATCACACAGAGTTGGATATTTCTCTCAACTTACGGTTACGACACATATTCACAAAGCTCACCTAGATGCTGCCATGATGAATGAATCCTCTGACAAATGTTAGAGATGTTTTCCATAACAGATGTCAGCAAGTTTGGTTGTGATATGATGAAACACAATCACTTGAAGAGACAGTGAAGTGAGACAAAAAGCTCATTACAGAATCAGTGCTGGCACACGGATCAGTGATGCAGAGCAAGAGACGCACTGCCACAATGTTCTTTAGTTTCTTGGAATGTCACATTTTCAGTTTAATAACTCATTCCAGAAATCTGTCTGTCTGTCTGTATGTGGAATGCACAGCTCAAGAAATCGTTCATCTTATCAGCTTCGCACTTGGCATGTGTACAGTGAAGGGCCCAAGAAAGTTCAGGGCTGGATTTCTGTGTGATTAGGACATTTTAAACGTTCACTATTAATAAACTTCATGAATTGAACTGAGCAGGCAACATTTATTTAGTCCCAAGATTTGTCCACATAAAAAGCACGGCCACACAAATGGCACACATGTGACATTTCTGCTCTGCTTGCAAAAGCACAGGGCTGAGATAAGTGTGAAATCGCTCTTCTTTACATGCTCGGAACTGGTCAAACCCGTTCCACTTGCTTGCTTGTCAAGTTTAACTTTGAGACTTCGGAGACAGAGACAGTGGCTGATGTTTCATTTCTTCGATTGGTCAATTTGAACACTCAGCTGGTCTTAACTTGCCACAGCTTAATTATTGCAGGCCAAGCAAAAGGCCCATTTTTAGAACGGAATGATGAGTTAGTCGTGGTTGTTTCTTTTCCTTCTTTTATTCCTTTCATTTCTTTTTCTTACACTTACACTGACTCTTAATTCCTTACCCTCCGTTCTCTTGTCTTCGGCTCCTAAATGGTCAACTCCGTGGACGCAATCAGCTCAGCTTTTATTCAAATTTCCATTCATCCCTGACTTGTAGAAGCCAGCGGGGTGATGATTGAAAACCATGAGTCGAAGCAATCCAGCAGATTCCAGCACCGTGCAGCGAAACACTCACTGAGCCTTTGACCAAAGTCCTCATCCTGTGTCTTTCTCCAGCCATCCCTCCGCATTACATCATTAATCACGAGCGCATGGAAAGCAAGATTTGCAGCACTAGGGTCAGTTCATGGTGGCCGCTCCAGTCCATAAGTCCCCGGCCATGACATTATCCTGATATTGTTGTGAAGGCGAGAGCTTTTGACGCTATTGATTGGGGAGGACTGCGAAGTAGAGGAGAGATCAATGAACTTGCTGATTCATTGGAGTAGCAAACTCAGGTCAGCTGCACAGCCTGTTTTTGTTCATATGTGTGTAAAACCTCAATGCAACTACAGGTTAAAATGAAATGCAATCCACACGCTCTCACACACACACACACGACCGTGCACACACTGGGAAACCCTGGCTGTGATCCTCTCTGTATTCCCCGCTTGAGACTCTGAACCTTTGTGCTCTCAGTCAAAGCCTTGTGTTTGAAGCTATGTTCAAAGACAGCCTTCCTTACTCAGCCCAGTCAGATCCAGATGAATCCCCGGGTATCTCCTGTACACCCTTCCCTCCAGCCTCACCACTCCAGGTTTAGCTCAGCGTATTCACACAGAGCTGCAAGTGTTTCCTCCAGGGCATCATCGCAGACAGGTAGAAGGGGCACGAGGAGTTTAGGGCACTCACCCTCATTACAGGACATTAGTGAGTAGGAGGTTGAGTGGTTAATTTTAGGTCGTAGAGGAGTTGACGTTAATTAGATGTTACAACATACTCGAGACAAGCAACGTCACAACTATTGTGAGAAAATCTTATGTCCCTAATTGCATGGATTTCTTATTGGAATAGGATGTTGGGGAGTTTATGACCATAAGGATATTAGCTCTGGAGTTTTTTGTAAATTGTGAAATTTGATTCAAAATGCTATGATGTTGTTAAACCCAAAACATGTGTCTGTAAAGTCTGTTACTCAACCAAGAGCCAAAAAACACACTTTTTCCTTCAGAGTCAGATTTATTTTATTTACTTTTTCAGTACATTCTGGTTTGGTAAATATGATTCTGGTCCCTAGTGCACACTTTGAAATTATGTGCAAATAGTGTGTTGGCAAAAAGCTTTGTGAATTTCTGTACACCACACCCACACATTATAACATGCTTCCGCTTGTTTTAGACTCGAAATATCTCTGTACCTATTTTGGAGAATTATATAAATCTCCTCATTAGTTTGGTCCAAACTAAAAATATCTGGTCGACAAACATTATTCACCTCAAGTGAAATGCTGTGATAAAGATTTCTGTTTAATTAAGGCTTGATTTTAGTAACGTTTGTGTTCCATTCAGTTTTTATGATATAATGGCAGCATATGGTCAAAGTTTAGGGATGTGGTGATCAACAGATTTTACAATTTCATAACGTCACGATATCATAACCGTGAGAATTGTAAAAACTACGATATCTAAGCATGGTGTTCTGTCTCTCGCGAGTCACGTAACTTGTGTGTGTGCTGCGCAGTGAAATCTCTCGAGTCACGTTTTGTGTGCATTTTGATCGCCCCCTGGTGGCTGCCTGAAGTATAGCCTCATAACATGATATTCCTTGCGTTGGCATGAAATTGGTGAGGAAAATTTATTCAGTGTCAATTTTAGATTCCTAATTTGGGAAATATCATTTGCCTCGATCTGTTTCACCACCCATGACAACATTTGACACCTAAATGATGATGATATGCTCCAAAAAAAAATCAAAAATATACAGTACATTAATCTGGACCAATGAGCCAGTGTTCTCTGCCACATATTGCGATTCAAGCTCTTAAGCTGTATGTTGTTCCATGACCATTTGTTCTGCTTTATTAGTTCCAATATTGTTTGAAGTCATGAAAGTTGCTGGTGGCTTGTGTGCCATGTACGGAGCTCACTTGTATAAGTGGTTGTAACAACATAATGTTCCGTGTTTCGCTCCTGCTAATGTGCCCTCTGCTCACAAAAACAGAGGCTTTGGCAGAAGATGGATAGTTAGGCAAATAATCCAGTTAACTTTTCATGTGTTTGCAGGCAGATAGTTTTTCTTTAATGTGTTTATCATGACTTATGAGCTTCTCTATAGCAGCCATTAACATATGATTACCATCACAGGGCTAATGGGTTTGTCTGTTGTTCCCCCTCCTGCTCAACTGCCTCGACTCCTCTTCTGAATCTCTTTAAATCTTTTTTCCTTTCCTATTTTAGCATTCACTTTATTTCAATCTCCCTCTCCCAGCTCCTCTCCACCATGTGTCTCCACTCTCGGCCCCCGCGGCCCCTCAACTCCCAAGCTAGAGCCTCCCTCCCACACAATGCTCTCCATTATTGCTTAATTATCTGTGGCCTGTCGTTTGACTAATGCGCTATCCCTGACTTTCAATCTCTTTCACGTTATCCCTTCGTCTTTCACACGCTCGTTTCTATGTACTCCTCTGTCTCCCTCCCACGTCCCTGCCTCACCTTCTTGACATTTCTGTGGCACCCTGAAGCCAATTGACGCTTCTCTGTTGGTTCATAAAGAAATCAAACTGTGATGGAGACAGTGGGAGAGCGAGCTCGAAGCCCACGCATGTCTGGTTGGTGTCAGCCGGCCAGTTTGCTTCAAGACATCACTTCTCTCAATTGACGTGTTTCTTATCGTAACCGCACCGTTTCTGTCACGGGCACATTATAGTGACAGTTAACCTAATTCCACCATCTTCTTCTCTGCCAGCATGAGAGTGGCAAGCATCCAAATGATTCCAGTGTTTCTATAAATTCTCCCTGCCGGTCGTTAGAGAGTTCCACTGCTGCAGTTTGGTTAAAAATGTCTAAATCACCTTCCACGTCTCCACATCCCTGCTGCACCGCGGGGCAGTTGGGGAAATCAGTAATAGAACGGCAGCGTTTGAACGTGCAGGGGTGTGTGTTTGTTTGAGTTTGTATAGTCTATGTGATGCAGACATATTTGTAACGTGTCTGCACTCCTGTGGTCCCTGGCAGAAAATGGATTGGCGCTGTCATCATGGCTCCCCTGTATTAAATATGTACAAGCACTCCACTTTGTTCCACTGTAGCTGCACACCCATCGAGGCATCCCTGCCTGTTTGTGGCTGAACTAAAGATACCTGGGGACGTTTGCTGAGGCAAATCAGCGGAGATGTTTTTTGTGGGTTTGTGGAAAATCGTACATTTTGATTGAAGGTGTGTTTTGGAATCCCGAAAGATCCAACAGGCATAGTGTATCAAACGCTTTCAATCTCATCGTGTGTGTCTGTGAGTAAAGGGTAATATTTTCTGCTGTGCTGTTGAAATATGACAACCTAATATATTCTTGGTGCGATGCTGCATCGCTCCTGTCGTTTTTGAGCCGTGGTCAGTCTAGAGCTCCATTCGGTGGCTGACCTCTGGCTCTGCAATGCCTCCGTTTGTTACGACTACCTTTTTATTGTCTGTTTTAGCTCGCTCAACACGACTGCATTACAGCAGTTTAGTGCATTATGGGAGTCAATATCACAAATGGCCCACTCACTTACTGCCTGTATGACCGAAACAAACCCCCGAGGGCAGTTTGTTTAAGGAAGTGTCTCGACTTCAGAAGTCATTATCAGCATTCTGTACATGAGGTCACAAAGCGTCCTTCATCATTCTGGTCAATGCACATTAGAGCCAAAAAAATAAGACTTAATTTTCTTCACACATCACTTTAATGTGGCAGTTGCTTTTAAAATGTCCAGACATAATGTACTCCCATCCTGTGCACTGCATAAATATCATCTGCTCCCTCTGTGTCATATAAACACATATCATCTCGCTGATGTCTAAACGATGTTCGACCTGTTTCACCTAATGAAGTGCGTGTTTCCTGTTTGTTTTGCAGGCTTGGTCAAGCTCGGAATCCACTGTGTAACATGCCAGAAAGTCGCCATTAAGATTGTTAACCGGGAGAAACTCAGCGAGTCAGTACTAATGAAGGTAAGTTCACAGCTCTGAGTTCTTTCTGTGTCAAAGATGCAGTTGCTAAAGATTTTGATTTTCACCTCGGAAGTTATGTTTTTGTTTGTTTGTCAGTAGGATTATGCAAAAACTATTCAAGAGATGTCCACAAAAATAGGTGGAATGATGGAAAATGGGCCAAAGAAAAAAAGTCAGGACAAAGAGGCAGATCAAGGAATTTGTTATCACTTTCATGAACAACGGGGATTTAATGACATTTTCAGTTATTTCCCAGGTAATAAATTTTACGAATCTTGAGGCAGTAAATCAGGCACATTTAGGGGATTGATATCTGGGAGCTTGATTGAACATAAGGGGACTGTTTGGCCTTAGCAGACGTACGTGCTCTACTGAGTGCCATTATAGTTTTTTTAACCAGAATTTCGCAGTGTGTGCTGTTGGTGCAGTGGTACATACACACCACATAACCCATTGACCCTTTTGAAGTCTGGCTGGGGACCGAATTAGCCGTATGAAGAGGGAAATCACTGGCTGAGGTAGTGACAGTGGGTCTTTGAAGCAGTTGATTTCATCCTTTTTCATATTTCAAACTGAAGGAGTCAGCTGTTTGGCTCCCCCGCCAGGAATCAGAGCCTCCAAGAAATCCTGGGGTAAGACAACAATAAAGCAGGTTTCAGCAGCTGCAATTACTAAAGCCTCTCTCCAAAACGCTTCAAAATCTTCTGGGAGGAAAAAAAAAAATCCTTTATGTAATTTTTTCCAGTTACCCACATAGCCTCTTTTTTTGAAGGATCCAAGGATTTCTCCGCATTACACCCCAGGACGCCTGCTGAGCACCTCTTTTTTAGTGCCCACTCAAAATGTGCACGCTGCAAAAATTGGCCCTTGTGTTGATGGAATAGATGCAAAGAAACCAAAGAGAGGACAACAACCTGAAAATTGTCTTTCACAGGATGCATGCAGAGAGGAGCGCCTGCTGTAATTGTTTGCTTATGAGCAGGAGAGCAGGAAGCCGATGGGTTTGCTCAGAGCGCGCAGGTTATCAGCAAATGGAAGAATCCTCCGTTTTGCATCACTTTTGCTGCAACTTCATTAGACTCTGGATGAAAAGCGCTCCGAGCTCCGGTATTCCTGTTTGATAAACAGTCAGTATTAATCAGCTTCTTGCTGTGTCAGTGCCGCCGACTCTTTTTCGCTCATCACTGTCTTGCTCCAGATGTCGGCCACTTTCTTACTCACTCCAACATGCCTGTGAAATATTTTCATGAGGGAAAGAGAGGTCATCACCGTTTCCTCTGCGCTGACAGAAGTATTATTAGCTGTAGCAGCAGAAGTTGGTGGAGTGTTAGCAGAGAGGAATGTAGCAGGATCATGTCCCAGGTGTCTCTGTCCTGCTGAGAAAAATGATGGCAACTGATGCCACTGACAGGACCACGGCTTTTGCTGAAGCGGCAGTTCAGAGCCAATTACTGAACTCAGCCGTTGTCACTCTTCTCTCAACTGCTCGACTCTGGTGTGTGTTAGTGCGCGTGTCCGTGACATCAGGTGTGTGTTCACGTTTGTGCCGGCAAGGAATGAATTATGCAGGAGCCAGGGGCGACTGTGCTCCTCTGACGGAGACAGTTTTAAATATGTCTTGTAAGTTTGAGACTGAAAGCTAAAAATCACGAGCAGTCACCATTATTTTACATTTAATTAAATCTTTGACGGTACCGGTGAGTTTCTCCCTCTGTAGTGGATGAGATCATTTGAATAATTGATCAAATGCACAAATAAGTCCAATAAAAACTACACACGAAACCCAAACAGCAAAACCTTTTGTAGGTGTTTTAGGTCCAGATGACATTTTGGCTAATAACAACTATATGTACTTTAATGCAGATACATTTATAAGTCGTCACCTGATGCATTATGGTCAATATGTTCTGCCTCTTTTGCTCAGAAGGCTTCCAGCCCCCATATCCCTCTCTGACAGATCCTGCAAATTCACATGGAGAATCTGTTCACAGAGATTATTTGTCAGCCTCATATCAACAACCGGAAAATTCAGGTGTTGGGGATCTAATTAATGCAGGATAGTGGAAACATGCAGTGTTGTCTTTGCATCGGCATTTTTGTGTTTGTGTGTGTGTATTGATTTGTTCACCGCCCTCTGACACAAAGCAGTCTGTTGTTTCTATTAAAACTCAAAGCCTCTGTACCAATGTACCTACTGGATAAACGGTGAACTGTTGGTGAGGTCACTTGTAAAGTTCCCTCTGGTTCTGGAACACACCAGTACCGGTGTCAAGCATCAGATTACAAATCCGCTCCCCTATTCGCAGGACTCCTACTTCGGCTGGACTTTTGTCTGACTCAAATCCAGCAGTCACTTTTCCGTATTCCCTCTGTGTTGCACGGCACAGTCTTGCGTGTCTGGTCTCGGAGCTGCCTGTGTGGCTGTCAGACTGTCAGGGTGATCGGGCTGCACTCTGCTGCAGAGTGCAGGCTCACACTGTGAAATGTCACCTTTTAATATGCTAATGTCTTGGGTCCCAATGGTGCCATTAGGGGAGAATCTGACTCTCCTGGACAGGTGTGTGTTTGTGTGTGCGTGTGTGCGCAGCACCACTGACGGCACACATTTGTGCATACGTGCACACATATGCGCACGCTCACAAAAGTTGAAAAGAATGCATCTACATGTGTCACACAGACACACATTCATATGTATGTGCACAAAGTCATCCTCCATGACACACGTCATCCCTCGACGTCTGTCCTTCCCCTGCCCGGCCTTGTGAGTCAGAGGGTCTGCGGAGATGAGGAGACGGGTTGAATTAATTGTCTCCACTCACTGTGTGTTGAACTTTAGAAAACTAATGTTGAACTCTTCAGTCCACAGGCCCACCGGCTATGACACCGTAGACCAGAAAGACATTGAATTGTCTCGGATAATGAATTTGTCTGTGAACTTCGTGTCAGTGTGGAACCAGGGAAAAAGTCCTTACTACTTTAAAGAGCAGAGCCCAGAGTGTTTTTTTTCTTTTCACATCTAAGCAGAAAATCTAACAGCGGAGTTAACTGAATAGTAATAAGAGGCTCTATCGGTGGGAAGTGGCTGCCTGTCATGTTGCAGATGATGAGAGAGAAACAGACAGCGAGAGAATACACAATACGTGCACATGTGACAGTGTGTCAGCAGAAGGACTTTTGCGATCCAATACAAAGTAAAGCCCAGACCCGATGCTGTGTGTGTGTGTGTGTGTGTGTGTGTGTGTGTGTGTGTGTGTGTGTGTGTGTGTGTGTGTG